CAGTGGTGGGATTCAAATAATTTAACAACCGGTTCTCTGCCCTAATGACCATCTGGGCAGGCTTGGCTCGGTGGTCATGTGACTGGGTGGGCATGGTCAACTCAACATCACTCACATCAATGGCTGCTTCGCCTTAGCTGTTACAATGTAATAAGGGTTAACCAGAGAGGCAGTGTCTGCAAGCAGGGCAATAAATATTAGGCTAGAAACAACACCAGAATGTTTCCTTCCTGCCTTCCTTACAGGATTAGCCTTGTAAAGTGGAAAAAAACAAAATGAGATTTCTTCCAACAACCGGTTCTCTGAACTACTTAGAAAGATAACAACCGGTTCTCCCGAATAGGTGCGAACTGGCTGAATCCCACCACTGTTACAAAGGTGTTTCTGTGTCTGTATTTCTTGTATTTTGAACTCTTGAGGTAATAACTATTCTTATGTCTGAATGAAACATAGAGGAACTTCTACTTTTGAATAATTGATGAATAATTGTTATAAAATTATACATTTTATTTAATTGTTATAAAAAAAATTAAAAATATTTTTTTTAATTTTAAAAGCGTTATTTTTTCTGATTTAAATAATTATTTGTGAATGTTTCCCTTCTCTAATGCATCTTGAAGAACTATGTAAGAATTTTATAGGAAGTAGATTAAAATATAGCAAGAAATAATCAAGCAATTGCAGATTCAAATAAGCATTGCTGAGGGACACCAAGAGGTGCTATGGAATCCACTTATGAAAATCTTGCCAAAAAGTTTGTCAGGCAGCAATTTCCTAGAGTCAAAACTAACTTAAACACAAAATAGACGTTGTTATCTTTAGGATGCTGTTGTCTGTAGCCTCAGAGGTTTGGGCATAATTCTTTATCAAGCTAAGGTTTCTTAATTGAAATGTTAAAAAAATAGTGTACAATCCTTTACATGTTGACATGATTACATGTAAGAAATGAGGCTACAGTACTTTTAAGTTATGTAAAATATGATTAACTTGTTTATTTTTATTGTGTACTTAGTGTGGGCGGAGACAGAGAGAGAGAGACACACACACACACACACAGAGACAGACAGAGATTTCCTAAATGACTTTGCACTAAGAAAACATGCACCATTTTATACGTAATATATTGAAGGCTTTAATTTGCTTTAGTTTATTTCTATTCTGCTTTTTAGCCAAGGATCTGTGACAATTCAAAATGATTAATACAGATATAAAATTACATATTGCAATAAATTTTATAACCTTATATTAGTAATGTTATCTTATTGAAGGAAAGTAACCTTTCTCATTTTATTTAATTAAATAAAACAATATAGAGGGGGGAAATGGAGCAACAAGAGTATTTGAATTAAATTTGACATTCTGTCAACTGATGTTTAGACTTGGCTAAATGATAACTTTGCTATATATTTGTTTCTTTTTATTCTAGATTTTCATGTGCAAGGGTAAAGCAAAAAAGAGTGGCAGAAAATGAATGAGAAAACTCCAATTTTGTTTAAAATGGGGAAAAGATACAATTACTCATTTAGAGAGCAGCAGTTAGGACAAGAATGGTTTAACATTAATGTTTAAAATTGAATTTTTGTTTTCCTCTTCTTTTTCCCAAGATGGTGAATGAACGGGACAAAATTGAGATGTAAAGATAGTGAACCTGGCAACTTCAAATATATCTTCATTTGGCCTAAATTGTCCTCCTGTCTGTCTAGTTGATATGAAATGAATGCCGGCAATAGATTATTGCCAAATGATCATTCAGCTCAGATGAGAAGGAGCAAGATATAAAATGGAAAGAGGATGTGGTTTACGAAGAATTGACGCCTGAAGCAACCCTCATGAATTTCAACCACAGCAATTCAGAGAGCATCACTGGTAAGCTGATGAGTTAATTAAAAGGCGCTGGTAGATGTTTTGGAAATTATAACTGCTTCAAGGCTGCAATCTTCAGTACTTCATATTGAATTTTAGAACTGTCACAAATTTACAATGAAGCAATGCCCTTATTGGGCCAAACTCAAGGTAGATTAAATGGCACGTGAATTTTCCCGAAATGCTTGGCAGGCAGATCATATAAAAATTAGAAAAAAATGTTGGGGAGGGGAAGAAAAAAAAGCATCGAAACCAGCTACAGTTTACAGTTTATTAGCATTTGTATGCCGCCTACTCCCTTGGGACTCTGGGCGTCTTACAAGCAAGACAAACATATATTAAAAAATTTAAAATAAAATACAAGTGTTAAAAATATCAACAACATGCATACAGTTGGAGTGCGGCTGGATACTAATCAACAGCCCCAGGCCTGCCGGAACAGCCAGGTCTTTGTGGCTTTACGGAAGGCCGGAAGAGTGGTGAGGGTCCGGATCTCAACGGGACGGTCGTTCCATAGGGCCGGAGCAGCTACAGAGAAGGCCCTCCCCCGGGGACCCGCCAACTGACATTGACCGGTCAATGGCACCCGGAGGAGGCCCAATCTATATATGGTCACCATTTCAATTTCCCTTAGCATTTTAATATGAGTTAATATGACCTATATTATAATGGGTTATATTAATAACAACCTTGGGCCAGTCATTCTCTCTCAACCTAACTCACCTTACAGGGTTGTTGTTGTTGGCAAAATAGGTGGAGGAAGGTGTGTGGGACAAGGTCTTTGTAAAAATAACAAAGGTGGGATACAAACAAGCAAATAATATTAAAGGGATTCTTTCATTCTAATTTCTGTGAGTTGTGATACCAT